AAATTTACTTTTTGAATCAACTTGTTTTGCATTTGATAGAACTAAAGGAAAGCGATTTTATTTTGTACACATCTTATGGTCAGTGATGACAAAAAAATAGACTTTCATAAGATATGATGTCTATTCTGAATTGAAATGACAATATTTCATATTGTTTTACACAAAAAAATATACCGTAATAACTTTGGAATTTCATTCATTGAATCGATAGTTTTTATTGCGGTCAATTATATGTTATAGATGGAGCATTTCAATATGTATAAATTAGTGATAAATAGATTACAACACAAAAATAAAGAAGAGAATAGAATATTAGCTAGAATTAAAGACAAATAATTCTATCAGCAGGAAAACTTTTTAAACAAAACCATTTGTGAGTGTAGTTATGAGTAGAGATAAGAAGGACACCCACACCCACACTTCAAATAAAAGAGATCAATAAACTTTGCATAATTATCAAACAACAAGAATGGCTTTAAGTAATGTCTGGTTTATACGTATATTAGATTGTAAAAATGGTACAAATTCAAAAAAATATATGATTATTAAGTCATAATAAATAAGTATTTTTTATTTCTTCAATAACTCCGTCAGTTTTAATGCAATCGAACAAAACTTTGTTTTTTTTATTAGAGTTGCCGTTCTATGCTCGTCTAAAAATATCAACTTTCATAAGCAAAAATCATTTGTTCGAGTTTGAAAACTTCCACGGCAATATATAAAAAATGTTGAGTCATCCATTTTTTTTTTAGTTTTTCGAAAAAGACTGATTTTAGTTCAAGTTTTTGTTCGTTTGACGAAGATGCTTGTAGTTCTGCGAAAGAATGATATGTTTTTCAAAAATTTATTTTTTTTATTTCAAAGCCAGGAGTCTTTACTATCACATGGATATGCCTCTGAAGTACTAGTATATTGCGTGTAGTCTCATGTCACAGAAGAACATGAATAGTGTCATTTAATGGTGATTTAATAAACACTAGTCTTATTCTGGCGATTGTTAATCAAAGAGTATGCTCTTTGCAGTGTGTCGGAAAGAGCAGAACTCAAAATATTGAAACATGACTAGACTCTAAAAGAGAGCATCGTTTCAGCTGTATAAAACATCATTGAAAACTTCAATAGTGTATTTTGGAAATTTGATACTTTTAGACGTCTTGAGTTTCTGATGTATTTGTTTGTCATACTTCGCTCTAGAAAAACTGTTTATAGAGAGTTTTTTAGAGCATCGAATAGCGATTCTAATGAAAGAAATTGGCTAGATCGGATCAAACTGACAAAGTTATTGAATAAATACAAAATACTGATCTATTCTGGATCACTCGCTATTCTTGATTATTGGATCAATCTTGTATATAAATTGAATGGTAGACTATTCGGGAGGTATCTGCAGCTACTCGCACGACCGTTGTTGAGATCTGCGTTCAGCTTCTTGCTTGATCATCGCTTGTTGAACATGAGTTGGTAGACCTGGATTCAGACTCAAAACGTAAGGTAACAGTGTTTTGTGTATGTCACCAAAATCAACCATCACTTTGATGAACATTGTATCGTTTCGTACATAAGAATTTCCTTCTTGTTGAATTATTTCTAATGAGAAAAATTTTGGTATACCACTTGCTATATTCATATCTGATCGAGGTCGTTGAAAACTACTTGATCGAATGTCTGGTCGAAATGAATCAATAATATGTCGCTGTGCAGGCGTTTGATCGTACAAACAGAAGGTCACTTTATAGTTGAATGGAAATTTGAGAATCGGATCGTTTACACTTCGCATAAGCACCAAAAAGAGTGACATATGTGTACGACGAGCATTTCCATCACCATTTAAATAAAGACGAGCTCTCATTTTATAACCAGTTAGAGATGAATAAAATGGAGGTGAATAAATTGATGTTTGTCTTTCACATTGTGCATCAACTAGAAATTAAGCAAAAAATAATTTTGTGAATAAGAACAGAAGAAAGTGTAAAGAAATTTAAAGGATCGATATCATTTATAGTTTATTTCGTCAATGAATCAATAGATTAATTATACATTGATTCGAAAGTAATTATATATTACGTTGGATCGAATGTTCGATCATATATGTATTATTTGTCGATATTATAGGAACCGAATAACATCGTATTATTGGATTATCTCATTGAAAGAATATTCGGTTTTTATGACTCATCATAAGAGTAATTACTCAACTTACGCATTTTCTCTTGAAAGTTTGTAATTTTCCATACTAATGTTCCATCATATGAAACATATTGGAAATCATTGATTTTTTCCTGCAATGATGCTAAATCTTGATTGAGAATGTCTTGATTATGTTTCACTCCTTCCAGAAAAGCATTTGATTCTTCAGTCGATAATTTAACTTTTGATAATTCTTCTGTCAATGTTGGAATTGTTACTTGAATTTGAAGTGATTCATTGCTCAGACGTTCTTGGTCATTATTCAATGTTTCAATACCACCTGACAAGACGTTGAGCATTTCAAAAAGCTCTTGTAATTGAGTTGTGGCTAGATCACAAATTTCTGCTGTTGTTATTTGAGAAAGATCATTATCTACCTGTCTACCACTTAATTGCAATAACATTTGACGAACAACTTTCATTATAGCATGTTGATGCTGTTCAGTTAAATAATGATCTTCCATTTCGGCACGGATAATCTCAAGAAAAAGAATTTTTAGATTTTGATTTCATCGAGAAAACATTCATACTTGTTCATTACAACCAAAGTCTTTCAATATACAATCGACAATCAGTTTCTCACATTCGAAGATTTTATGCTCATTGTATTTGTTAACTGAGTTAAATTCTTTGCTACAATATTCACATTTCAAATTTGAATGATGTTCATCTAGATGTTCCTTTGAAAGAAAAAGATAGAATATTCATAAATAATTTTAATCTAAAATAAATTACCTGATAATTATTTAGGACACCAGTCCATTGGCAAGAGAAACACTCAATAGGTATTGATTTCATATCATTTTTGAAACCTCGATCAAGCAGAATCTACATAAATCGAATATATTTTCTCTTTAACTATGAAGAGACATGTTACCTTGTTTCGTGATGTTTCAGATTGGCATTGTCGACATTTTATTGTTATTCTTGAAAAAGAATAATGAAGAATAAAACTACAAATTGATAATGAAACTTACTCATGTTGGGCATCGAAACACGATTGACATTGTCGATGGCCACATTCATTTAATTGTACAGGATCTCGTAGTATCAGTGTACAAACAGGACAAATGTACTTTGTATCAATAATATGTTTATTTTTTGCATTGATGCCTACCATTATTTTATTTAATTAATATAAAACGAATGTTCAATGTCACTTAGAAAGGAAATCAATTTCTCTTTATCTATGTGTTTTTTATTGTCGTTTTCTCTGTAGATTAATATTCCAATAGGTGAAAGTTTTTCGGAAACTGTCAAAAGAAATGAAACTAGCTTGCTTTTTCAACAAGTGAATAGATACAAATAATGCTTTGAAATGAAAAGATGCGAAGAACAATATATCTAGAATTCAAAAAATTAGTATTAAAATAAAATAAAGATTTCAATTTTTCAAAATGATAACTATCTAGCAGTTCGAAATAGATTAGAGATCTAACAATATTAATATTACCAACACCATTTGGTATTGACCAGTATTGGTATTAATTATGGGTTAACAGTTCACGCACACATTTAAATGAGTGCTCAATTGAACGTGAGCGTTTCTGATATGTCTTGTATAGGAGGAGTAAGTTACAGTTACTCAGCAATTACCTCACCAGGTAACGGTAACAAGTTGCAGTATTTTTGCAAGTCTATCAAACGAACGGCAATATTTTCAAAAACACGATTCTTTATGATGCTTGATCAAGCGGCTACTGGGTAAGAGTTTCACCAAAAAAAATTGCGTTCAAATTTCAACTTATTCTTTATTTCAATATGGTCGCACCAAGGTATTATTCGGGTGATATGACAGGAGATCTCGGATAATCCTATGATCAGCCACAATAATACTGTTTCTTTCTGAGTAGTGAAGACAAAACATAGTGTTATCGTGTTTGATCCTGTGATTATCTAGGATCTTCTTTTATATGAGTCAAACAACACCTTGGTGCGACCATATTGAAATAAAGAAAAAGTTGAAATTTGAACGCAATTCTTTTGGTGAAACTCCTATCTGACAGCCGTTTGATAAACTCACAAGAATAATATAACTCGTTACGGTTATCTAGTGAAGTAATTATTAAGTAACTGTAATTTACTTCCCGTAAGCAAAACAACAGAAAAGTTCACGCCCCTCAGCACTCATTTAGACGTGAGCTTGAGCTGTAAACCCTTCACCAATACCAATGCTGATACTCACCGATATCGATACCCACACATACGAATATCGAAATACCGTATTGGCATTGTGGCATCCTTAAAAATACATTTACTCACTACTATTATATTAGATCAATCTTTAGTTCATGGTGCGTGTTTTAGTGGAAATTTTGATTAGAAAATGAATCATCATTGATGAAAATTATTTGAGCATCAGAACAGGCACTTCAAAGTCTCTCCCTAATGCCACTTGAGTTCTATAAAGAAAAAAAAAGATAATAGAACTTGACAAACTCTTAAATACTATAACAATGATTCATAGTTTGACTCATTTGATAATAACATTGATGTGCTGGCAACTTCTTCCCATTTTTTTCAAAGAATGATTGGTCCCTTGGTTTATTTTGTTGTCGATTCTTTTTACTGAAGTCTAGTTGGGAAAAACCCAGAATATATTGGGAAAGAAAATAGAGACGAGAAATAGAATAAGTAATCAAAATGAATATGCAACAGAAATAATCCTTATGTAATACAATAGAATTGATGACAGAAAGGAAAGAAGAACATGGGAAAATTCCTTTTCTTAATAAGAGTTCCCTTTAGAAAATCCGATTTTCCGAAAAAAAATCGAAGTTAAGTTTTTTCTAATAGGAATATGTGGCAAAATTCTGTCTATCAGAATATATATGACTCTTAGGAAAATGGTCAGATTTTAATAAACTTCGATCCTACTATAGTGTTTTACGGGAAATTTGAGCGGTTTTTTTTGAAAGTTTTTCACTTTTATTAATTTAAGCAAGATAGACGGTTCTACTTTACGTTATATGTTACATGCTTTAATAAAAAATGTCACTTAGATATATATTATGAATATGCCATTTGAATATGTTTTCATTCTGGATTTGAATGAAAAAATCTATTGCTGACTTATTATTCATTATTCTTAGAACATAGTTTTCAATCAGAATAACTGAAATTTCTCTCACATAGTTCCACATATTGTCAATATTTTTTTGTTTTAAAAGTTCTAAATGAGAGTAAACTTTTGTTCGAGCATTTTTTTCATGGTTGATTTCTCTATTTAGAAAAGTGAGTTTTAGTGTTGTGAAGTCACTTTTTGTTTGCTTATTTTAACACCATATGTACTAGAATGATCCTGGAGAAAAAAAAATAAACGAAAATCAATTTCAACAGTTACGCACAGGTGTAGCCTTTAGTTTGAAAATATCTTAAGCTCTATACTCCTTTCGGTGATGAATTTATAGTGATTCTTTAGAAGGCCATAAAATAAGCTGTAACTTCAGTCTAGTTTTACATATCGGGCTGGAACTTTTACTAGAAGTATTTCTCACTAAAACCACTCATTTCTTGAACTTTCAGGCTTAAATAGACCATTCTAAGTGATAAATTTATTGTGAGGGGAGGATGATGACTCTTAATATAGCAAACTAATTGTTTCACTAAAGTTCGGAGAGCATTGTCTGTGAAACTGATCGACCATTTTATTACTACAGCTTTTCTCATAAATACTGTGTACACAAATAACAACGGATGTAGGATAGTTGCTCGTAGATGCACTTGCTCGGTAGTGTGAGTGTGGGAATGATTATCTGTGCAGATGGAGAGAAGTCCTACATTCGTACTAACTCAGATCTATACCCCCATCCAAGAGCAAGTGTCCTTGCCTGAAACTATCCGACTCCCATAACAACATTAACGCTGATGGATCACAATTAGTCACAATGATACAGCCAAAATAAAGAGTATTACATAACGATAATCTTCGTCGTATGTTTCTTCTCAGAATTAATATCATCATACGAAAGTTACATAGACGATTTTTCGTTAATGTGAATCACGTTGGAATGTGACACATAGTGATTATATGATTTTGATTGATATTTATTCTAGCTGAATATATTATTTAAGATAATATCTAACTATTTCCTACTATGTGGAATAAAAAAATCGGTCAAGATGAGGTGGAGTGTGGGTGTGGGTCTTCGTCATCCTTCGAGATACCTACATTCACATCCACATCCACACCGACACTTACACCCACGTCCATACCCACATCCTAAAATGAAGGACTTTAAAAACTATTCCATAATTCATCTACTTCCGTAAAAACACACACATTGAACTATCCACTTTAAAGATTAAATCCATTGCTTCAAGTGCTCGAGTACCCCATCCCTGCATATTATATATGAGAACATTCAGTGGAATAAATTGGGTAGATGAAGGACACTTATTAGTCTCTTAATCAGATAATACATTGTCTATCGTGGAGTTGGAGTACCATTCGTCTAAAATTGGGATAATCTGTTTTTGCACCGTAATGGGAAAATTTAAGGTTTTAAGTCTTTCGAAAGCTACTTTTAGTGGTGTTGTTGGGAAAGAGAAGAAGAAGAAGGAAGAAAGAAAGGGAGGAGCATTAACATTGAGAAGGGAAGATGAGTTAAGCATCCTGATCGAGAGAGTTTGTTGAACGATTTTTATCAACTTCTATTTCGTCAATGAAGATGTTGATGTTGTTGATTGTGTAGTTTGATTGTTGGGGTAAGATGAAAACGTTGCTTTTGTCCTGATGAAGTTTTTGTTTCCATTTTTCAAGATCATTAATCATTTTTATAACGTTCTTGTTTAGTTTGGTTTTTTCGGAGTTGTTAACCTGTATTCCTCTGAATACAGGTCGATGACCGCAGTTATGCTATTGTTATGAAGCATAACACGAATAACTTGTTATTTGATACGTTTACTCATTTCGTGAAGACTTTTCTAGACTCGGACCATTGTGTCCGAAAAAACCTTAATTGCTATTATTAGTTCACTTACTTCTTTTTCAAGATTTAAGTGTTTAACTTGAGGTAATGTGGTTTGCCAAGCCAGGCGACCGCCTACTTGTAGATGAATAAGTTCGGGAAAATCACTAGTATTTCGTTGTAATGAGCGGATTATTTTATCAGGTGATGTTCTTTTGGTGGCACCAGCTATTAATGCGTGATCGACTGCAGCTTTAAGATCCTTTTTATATTGCTTCACTACCGGGCAATTCGAATCGAGAGAAAAGTGATTATCGCCACATTGGACACAAGAAAGTGCATCTTCTTGGTAAGTATGTTTAACTCCTCTAGTATACGGGACTAAACATTTACGACAACAAACTGATGATTGACATTTGTTCTTCATACAGCCATGCTTCCAACAGGCGGTGCAATAAGTTAATCGATCTAATTCTAATGCTGTTTTATATTGATCAAGATTTCGCATACAAAAGCGAAGATCATAGGATGGCCGTTGATGATGTTGATAATGGATTGTTGAAAATGCTACGGCTACCGGAATGGTCTTCATGACTTTTTTGCGGGTATCTTCTTCGTTAACATTCATGGGTACATAACGGACCATCAAAAAGAAACAATCTGCCAATGAGTGAGGTTTGATAACTTCCAATTTTTTATCCTCAATTACGTTGAGCCAGGACCAATTAAACAAAGTCAAATAGTCAACCTTGTCACTTATCGCAAACTTAAATCTTCGTTCATCGGCTTGAATACACGTTGATAATTCTTTAATATTTAACTGGTTATCAGCAGAGACTTTCTTGAGTATAATGGCAACTTGAGTACTTCATGGAATGTGGGTAGTGTCAATGGAAGAATCGAATACGATGAAATAAGATGGCAGAAAGGATGATACTGGTCTTTTCAACACATTTATATTGAACAACTGATTACGATCAGAAGTGTCATTGGTGGTATGTTGTTGGAGCTGTTGAATTGACTAATTGTGGGATGACTAATCGTTATTTCTTGGGCATTTTCTTTGTACGATGATGAAAATCATCACTATTATCGAAACTATCATTTGCAGGACGCCTTGGTGTTGATGTAGAGATGCAATTGGATTGATATTGATTTATCAATGGACGCACTTTCGAAATTTGGTGTTGCTGTTGGTGAGTCATAAGTG